CCCCCCCCTTCCCACGATAGGCCTTACTGTGCATTAATGTAGGCATACACTACACTTACAGCATAAACAGCCAGGTTACTTATATGCTGATTGCAAAATTATACCGCTATTCAGATGAATCAGTGAATCTGTCCTCGCATGGTACACCTACAGTAATACCACAGTAAAGTCGTACCTAGGAGAATGGGTCAAGTCATAGCCACCAAGTATTGTTGTTATGAATTTCGAGTTCCTCACACTCTAGAAAAGTTTAGCTGTCGGTGTTCCTATTTGGAAGTACATTTTGAATCATTTCCAATTTAGCAAACCCAAAATCTCCAAGTGAACGGGCGTACACATTTTGACGGTGAATAAACGGCAACTTATTCGACAACACAATTTGAATATTCGATTAGGAAGAAAGGAACTTCTTGCTGTCATGTAATTACTTTCAAAATTTCGCCATAGTCAAATCAAAAATTCACCCCACTCAAAGACTAAGACTTTGCTTATCCAAACTAGAATATCCTTTGAAATGGTTCTTTTCCCAATGTTAAGCATAACAAACAGTATAACTGGAACAAGTCCTCCTGAACCCCATATGAATTCTATCTATGAAAAGTTTGAAGTCTAAGACACATCGCTCACCGACCTGCGATCCCAATCGATTCGAATCAATCAGACATTTCGCAAGAGCAAAGTCACTATTTGGTAGGACCATTAAAGTCTTTAACAGAACGAGTCGAACTATTCCTTCGTCATATCTATAACATTTTGTATTTACTTGCTAGGTATGAACACCTAAATAAAAGAAACTAACTTATCAGGGTTGAGTTGGTATAGCTTGAGGATTGTTAGAACAATATCCCGATCGTAATGGTTTTCGCTTGCCATCAATTGCACACACTTCGCTAGTTCACCGACATTCTCGGGATTATACCTGAGAAAAAATACGAAGCATCTTCTTCTATTCTCTTACGCAATTTTTATTTTGCTTCAGGAGAACAAACTACAGCTGGTACACAAATTTTTAAATGATTGTAAATGAGCACATGGCGCAAAGAACGAAAATGGAACAGAAAAGACGCTGTTTTAGTCCTTCAAGAGAAAGAATAACCGAGTTCAGAGGCTACAAGCACTGCTAGTAAAAGGTGAGCGAATAGACCATTTGCAAACTTTCTTCTAGGTGCCTAAAAGCCATATTACCTGTTAACGCCTTGAATGGCAGCGTGTAGATGTTCCTTCATTCGCTCAAATGTCATCTATAACAAGTCAAGTTCTTATAGAATTTTAATTATTTTAGCGATATTCGTGGGAGAACACTTTGGATAGATATATATATAAAAAGAAATTCTTTAAAAAATCAATTTATTACATAAATAGTCGGCAACCATTCCCAGCCCTTGCCGTATCACAGATAAACTGACAATTAGATTACTCTGTTAAGCAGAATACATTTTTCAGTCAACTACAAAGGCAGACTCGAAAAAGCAATAGATCACAGGATTTTCTTGTGAAGAAACAAAACTTAAAAGGCACTAGTAGCATCTAGATGGAATGACTACAAATTAAAATCACATGATATAGTCATTTAACAATTATTATGAAACTATAGCGTTGCATATACATTAAAGTTACCTATATTGTGCGGTAGATGAAGAAGAACGACTGATATGCGATTGGCAATATTCAGGGAATATACTGACATTTGATTTAACCAAACACTATAGGCGATAAATAAAAGAACATCCCTATTTACACAAAGAAAAAACGGAAAAATGGATTCACAGCAATTGCTTCCCAACTTCTTGTAGATCTGGCGGTAGCAACGCTCTGAGGAAAAAAGCTGTGGTATAGAGATGTGTGATGGAAAGGATTATGGAGAAAAACTAACCGGAACAGATTGTCAAACATTTTTAGAGCGTTAGGTAGCGTGCTAGGAATCGATCGCGAGAGCCAAACATGTTGGAATTGTGTACGAATTTCGAGCAAACTGCAACTCCCGAATTTAATTAATGAAAAAAGTACAAATTGCATAGAAATCAATTACCTATTGGCAAGATCAGTGCGTATCGTAAGCGGTAAATGAACAACTCCGACCCGACCAGGTGAATAAGGAGCACTTTCTTCGCGAATTCTGGCCGTCTTCGAACCATGCATGCACAGCGCTTGCCCCAATCTAATTAATGTATTTAAACCAGGAAGGCGACTCCAAAGCAA